CGTTACGCTCGCGTATGCGATCCAAGGACTCTCTGGCGACTAATCCTCGGTCGAATCGGCATCGGCTCAAGAGAGAGTGTTTGCAACGAAGAGAAGGACTTCAAGAACAAGAATGGCTTCCATGGCAAGTTTCTACCGCAAGAAGCTAGGGCACAAGGCGTTCGAGTGCCGGAAAATGATGGGCGACGAGGAACGAGAATAAGTGACGCATGATCAAGCGTCCGATTTCGCGCACATGGCTGCAAGTGCGATGACTAAGGCTCAATGGCTCGTCAACTCAGGTGCATGCGTGCACCTGACCAGCGTCCGGGACAAGGTTGTGTCCATGAAGGACCTGCAGACGCCAGTCCGTATCGCGATAGCGCATGACACGACAAACGACGCAGTTACAACTGGCATCGTCAGGTTGAAGCTGATGGACGGGACGTCTTTCACGCTACGGGGGTTTCTGTACACCCCTGAAGTTGAAGGAAGCCTCATCTCAGTATATACGCTGGCCGAGAAGAACGTCGTCACGCAGTTCAGCAAGGACAAATGTGTTTTTCGCTGTGGTGACGTAACGATTATGAAGGCCTGGCGTTATGGAAACGTCTTCAAGCTGAAGACAATGGGGGACGAGCTGTACCATGGGTTGTAGTACACGCACGCCCGGGCCACATCCCGTACAGACGCTACAAGCGGCTTTTGACCATGGCAGAAGGAGTGGCTCGCGTTGAGGTTTGAGTCAAAGGTGACGAAGTCTGCGAAGGCTGATGCATGGGGAAGATGAGTGCCGACGACTTCCCTCGACACCCGGACAATCTTGTGAAGAGTGCCGATGTGCTGGATTGGGTGCATACGGACGTGATGGGTCGATTGGGGGGGCGTTACCTGTTGAAAACCAAGGACGTTGGCTTCACGTTCGACGGCCACCAAGGAACGGAGCTCGCCGCATCCTCCGATGCAGATTGGGCGGACAACCGCGACGACAGACGCTCCGTAAGTGGCGTAATGCACATGATGTGTGGTATTCTAGTAGTATAGCGATCCAGCTTTCAGAGGACCGTCGCACTGCGTTCGACTGAGACCGAGTACATGGCGCTCAGTGGAGGCATTAAGGAGGTCGTATGGATGCGCCTTCTGCTCAAGGACATTGGCTCGCAACAAGCCGAAATATCAGTGATCTACGAGGACAACCAAAGAGCTATGGCATTGGCGAAGAACACTGGCTATCAAGCTCGCATCAAGCATATCGACATTCGCTACAATTTTTATGCGCGAGATAGCTGCGAACGGCGAAGTTGAGCCGAAGTACATTGACAACATCGGGACCACATTCGAGACATGGAATTGAGTGGGGGTGTTGTGGTAGCACATTGCTGTCTACTGCGCTAGGCACCTATCGCGAGGCACGTGCCGAATGCGTGCTACACTTGAAGTGGCAGAAGCGGTGCGCCCTGATTGGCAAATCAATTGGCATCCTGGACGTGATTGGGCATCAACTTCAATTCGGTCTATCACGGGATCTGCAACAAGAAGACCATCTTGAAATGTGGCGTGTACCCTGTATACAATTGTGTCCTCTGCATACAGGCGTGTCCGCTGCATATACGAATAGTATGGATCCAGTATACAGGTGTGTCTGTTGCGTATACTAGTTTGGATACGCAGACTGGCCATGGTAGGAAGTACTAGGGGGCGCATGTATGATTATGAAAGAAGTGTTAGGAATTCTAGCTCAATCAATCTCATCTTCAAATTTCCATTCATTGACTCACATCGACTGCAAGCCTCGTTTGCACAGTCCTCCACTCTCAATTCTCGGTTTGGAGCGCGTTGCAAAGCGTGCTTCGAGGTGCCTGTGAAAACGTTAGCTGTGCCATTCATCTGGCAGCTTGCTAATGCTTTAAGATGAGCGTAGATAAGCGATGGAAAATTGTGGATGGAGGCACCGATTTCGACCGGCTGCCAGAAGATATAAAGGCGCTTGGTCAAATGCTGATCGCGAACCGCCATATTGCATACCTTGAGTTTTTTTGCTCACAGACCATCGCAAAATATGACAGTCCGTTGAAGAAACAGCATCTCGAGCCTATTGCTCGAAGAGTGGTATCAAGCAAAACCACTGCGCTGAACATTGCACCGCTCCCTCAGCGTACTCACAATAGCGACGTGTTGCTGTGCGAAGCTGACACTGATTGTAATGACACAATGCAATTGTCACCATCAATTCAATGATATTTCTTAAGTAAAGAGCCCCACCCACGATCGCAGCATTTAAAAGTTCATCGCACATTTAAAACCTTTTAAACTGATCCAGGAAAAATCCCTTTTACTTCTATATATTACCTGCTCAGTTTTATATTTTACGGAGCGAAACCTGCAGCAATTTAAAAACCTACGTCACTATTGCTAAAAAGCAGTTTGAATTTGCTCACTATACCTTTTTAAGCTGCTAAAGAAAATTTTATATTTTCTCTTCTTTCACCTGATCAATATTACAATTTGCGTTGCATGTCTGTAAAAAACCTGTAGAAAACAAAGCATCTGTAGTATTTGAAAGAAATGAATAATATAAGAGAGCTTCATTTGAGATTTGTAGTGGAACAGTACAGAAGTCCCTCTCAATAAGCGTTGGAGGCTGTCTGATAAATTAGCATAGGAGGATCACAGTGATCTTGTGATTTGTCAAACGTACCTTCAATCTATGTGATCCGATATAAAGGGAATACGAGGTACAAGCAACGCTGATTGAGGAGAACTTCTGTACCTAATTTTTCTGTGGACCACATATATTTCATCTTGAAATAATCCCTATTGGACTGAACATACTATTCACGTCGCACTACCAGAAATATAGCTCTACAATACGCTCCATCGCTAACTTATCTGCTCAAACGTCTCGCTTGCAAAAAAACGGCTTTTTATTTGCGTAGAAAAGAGCTAAACCTTATGGGATATCCATTTTAATACCACTAGCATATTAGGCCCTGTTTAAATCCACCGCGAATTTTATCACGAACTCCCGACAGTTTGCAAAATCGTCTTGCTCGGCGATAATAGCATTTTGACGCGTTTGGCACCGCACGACAAAAATCGCTAAGACCAAAAGATCATGATTGTTGCCTTCTTTGCAATCCAGTGGTTCCAAACGAGCGGTGACCTTGCGACTCCCCATGAGTGGAGACTCGGTTGCTCAGCTAGAAGATGCGTCTGACGAAGATGAAGGCGTCGTCCGGGTATTAGCTCTTGTCGCCGGATACTATGGGCACACGTACTTCGACAAGCAGCCTTTCCACAACTCTATCCTGACGGGATCTGATTGGGTAGCTGAGCGCATCGAAGGAAACCCGACACGCATGTTTCGAAGCTACCGCATGAAGTAGCCCGTGTTCAGGCGCTTTTGCACTGCTCTTGGCAGCGCGGATCGACAGACGCCCTGGTACCGCGTCAGTGTAGAGGAGAAGCCAGCAATCTTTCTTTACAGCATTGCAAAGAGCGCCTCAAGCTGCGATCTTCAAGAGTGCTTTCAGCATAGCGGAGAAACAATTCATCGGTGCGCCTTCAAGTTGTGGTTACGTATGTGTTTTTAACTAATTCAATGATATAATCTAAGCAGGCGTTTTTACCGTGTTCTTGATGCTGTCTGTAACAGGTCAAGCACGTATCTCGTCCAACCAGTCACCCCACCACAGCTCCTACAAAACGATCCAAAAAAAGCTGGTCAGTTCGATCAATGCCGCCTCGCCTTTGATGGCACGCACATTCCTGCCTACGTACCGAGCGAGAGTACGAAGCCATTTCGTGATAGGACCGGAAAGCTTTGTCAGAACGTGTTCGCTGCGTGTACGTTCGACATGCAGTTCGTCTACGTGCTGTCAGGTTGGTAAGGTACGTTTAGTATTTTCATATTTTACACTTGACGCATGAGCTAATATACTCTTACAGGTTCTGTAGCAGATTCAACGGTGCTTGCCGACGCAAGGCGAAAGGGATTTAAGACCCCACCGGGCTTGGGTTTTGCTGGATATGGTCTAGCCACAAAGGTTATGACTCCATATCTTGGTGTTCGTTATCATTTGAAGGAGTAGGGACAAACAGACGAAAGGAAAGTCTAATATCTCTCTAGAATCTGCTAAAATGCTAGCGCTATATTGTACAGGTCTCAAATTATAAGTAATTGTATAATCTACGACAAGCGCAAGCTCGCAATGTCATCGAAAGGGTTTTTGACGTGTTGAAGCTGAGATTTCCTATCTTGATGCAAGCTCCTGAGTATTCAGTAGAAATACAGGCAAAAACTGTACGAGCATGCTGTGTGCTTCACAATATAATGATTTTATCAGGCTGCAGGAGGATTTACCTGATGATCCAGATGACGTGCTGGAAGAAGAAGCTTCTGACAATGAGCGCCAGATGCCTACGACCTTGAGAGAAATTCCACTGGAAATTATCGGCGAGCGAGTAATCTTCGTGATCTACTAGCAAAGAACATGTGGGATTCGTATGTAGCTTTTCATCATTAACTAGTTAGCATGCACCAATGAACTCGTGCTTTTGACGTCAAGCTCTTACTTAGCATCTTGAAGTTGCTTATTCAGCCATGCATACCGGGCTGGTCCGGCCTCCAATTTTAAAAAAATCCTATTGATTTTATTTCGTCGAGCATCACGTCAAAAGCACGAACGAGATATTCCGTTTGGAGGTCGTTGGCATAGTTCTTCTGCAGATATTTAATGGCTCTCTGTGATGATGACAGAGATCTTATCCTAGTAGCTCTATAACGCATTTCCGTGCAACCTCACCAACCTCACTAATTGCTTTAGCAATTTGTATAATGTATACTATACTAATTGCTAAAGCAATTAGTATACCGCCGCTATCGCAGTGCCTTTTCTTGGTAGTTGTACCGCTTCCTGCCATGTAGGTAACAGCGATTTTTGGTAGCTGAAATTAATCGGCTTGATCGGAGCTTGAAGCTTCGTCGAGAGCTGCAGGCTCAGAAGATGTTGGTGTTTGCGTTAGTTGCGGAGCAGATAGACCTGTAACAAAGTCCCCTGGGAAGGGATTTTCAGAAGCTAATGCATAGTCTCCAGGGCACGGCTCTTTAGAGGTTAGTGCATACTCTCCCGTAGCGCATGTTCTCTTAAAAAAGTCACGAAGGTCGTCAAACAATAGCATGGCTTTCCTACGGTAATCGACAACTTTTGCATAGCTCTATTCACAGTAGAACATTAGGATAAGGCAGTTTGTCAATGCTTGTAGTGAGCAATAGCTGTACCCTCACGTAATCATTCCAAACGGAGTCATGCACTAGCACGATATGACGTTCATTATCCCAGCCAAAATCCGACGCGTCCAGCATTGCCTTGATCGCCGTATTGATGCCTTTCAGCTGTAGTAAAACGCAAATGTCTTGGTTAGAGCCTGCTAAATAAATGCTGTGAGCGCTGTACGTACCGCTGTCAGTCTGGATTTGATCTGCTGCCTCGACAGCATCGTCTGGAAACGGGCGTTGAACGCAGCGAGTGTTTCGGCCCACGCTTCCTTCTTGAAGCCGCTTTCAGTTCTCTTCCCTGCTTGCGCTTACTGCATCATGATCTCTACCAGGAAGGCATCCTTCGCACTGTCCCAAGACGCGCGCTCCTGGTCTTCAGACCCCATGTTTGGCGCCCCATCACCAGGGAAAATCGCGATAAAAGTTTCTAGTCAGAGTAGAAACTTTAAAATCGCGATCAATTGCCTAAGTCACGGATTTTTGTGCAGTGTTTGGAAACACCATGCTTGCACCAAAATTGCAATTTCCAGATTGCAATTCGAAAATTAAGATCGCGAACATGTTTGGAATCGCTATTTTTCAAGAATTCACGATCAGCCGAAAATCGCAATTTAGGGCCCTAAATCGTGATTTAGTTTTCAAACACACACACCGCCTTAGACTCTAGCTTACACATAAAATACTCTACTGACATGTTACCGTAGTACTTCTACTATTGTAGACATTTATTGTTTTACAAGCCACGATGTATTTCGGTATTAAAGTCCTCATGTTTAGTCACATTTACACTGCTCGATCGTAATACGTATGAGCTTGGGTAAGCTAAAAGACATCTTATCATCATTCTGACCACTAGATATCATTAAAGCCTTCACGTTTAGTCACACCTATCGATTCATAAACCATTCGAACGTAATATGTATCATCAGCGGTCCATTCAGTCGTACAGACTGTTGCACTTTATCAGTTTGAAACATCACTTTATCATTTTGACCACACCTGATTCAGGCAGCTGGATCCGAGATTAGTAACTCTTCTTATTACTGTAAACACCTATTTACCATCTGTTTCATCCACCTAAAGCGAGTTTCTTTAAAATTGTGCTTGTTCTGGCGATGTTTCAAGATACTTTGGTAACAAACTATTGAACCCCTTACTCAATGTGGCTCAAAAAATAGTGAGCTATTATTGTACATACCGACAACACAGCCTACGCACGATAAAGGCATCCACCCTATCCACGTGACAAATTCCCGTTTACATGCTCCTTTGATCGCTCGTAATCAATAACGCGCGTAAGCTCCCAGATGGAATTCAGGTTTCCAGCTTCTTCGACTGCTAGTTTTAAATTTGCTCCGTTAACCCTTTAAGACCTGAGGTCGTCTTAGAGTCCCTCCAAAAAATTTGACCAATAAGATTACCGTATATCGCAATTTATACTAATGACTTATGGTCATTTACTATAGTGGTATCATTCTGGTCGAGTTAGAGTCCCAAATTGGGACTCTTGGAAAATAAATAGACAGGGCACGACAGAAGGGACTGGCAAACGTTCTATAATATGAACAGGCTCTTAGAGCCGGTTCACTACGTAGATGGAGATGGAGATGGATTTACGATCAGTTTTTTTTTTATACTTGATTGGCCGAAATTTTGAACTTACAACCACACAGCTGGAGAGTTTCACCCTGCGTCCTTCTCCACCTCTGTGAGGTCGAGACAGCTGGAGACGACTAAATACCGTTTTCAAACTGTTTCTGTGCAATGGATGATGAAGAAACTATTATAGTTGCTACGCGTGCTGCTGTCGCGCAGACGGCTACTTTGCTCGCCTCCACTTGTGAGCGTGCGCCCCCAGGACCCAAGAAACAAATTCTCACTGTGACCGTTTTGGACTTCGAGCCTATGCTTTTGTCATGGAGCTACGACAGTTAGCTTGAAACAAACCTTCGATGTTCCAAGAAAACCTTTTTACGCGTCGCCAACTTCCTACAATGTCAGGGGGTTCGATTCGCTGCGGCGAAATCGAAGCAGCACTCCTTTAACAAAAAGGTCGCTGCTGCGCTTTACTTCATGGGTTCGACCGGAGGATACAGGGAGGTTGGAGGGGCAATGGTATGTCTAGGAGCTACGTTTCAGAAATTACTGCAGAAGTTGTTCGAGTTCTAAGGGCTGCAGCTCCCCAAGTTGTGGCATTTCCACGGGACCAAGGCGGTTAAGATGCAATCGAGTCCGAATTTGCGGCGCGACATGGGTATCCTGGTGTCGTAGGTGCAATTGATGGATCTCTAATTGAAGTCGAGCGTCCCTACGAGTTTGATGGTTTTTATTGCCGCAAGTGCTATCCGGCGTTGAATGTGCAAGCGATCGTCACCAGTGATAATGTTTTCTTGAGTGCTGAAGTTCGTCCTGGCTCCTGGTCGGATCGAAATTGCTGGCAGTATAGCAAAATTGGTCGAACGGTATACAGTACGATACCACCAGGAACTCATTTTATTGGTGACGCTGGATACGCACTACTGCCTGGACTTATAGTACCGTACAGTGATCGGGAAGAGGGTGGAGAGCTGTCACCCAGACAGAGACAATTTAACTTTTTGCACTCAAGTACTCGCATGGCTGTAGAGAGCACCTTTGGAATTTGGAAAGGTCGTTTCAGAATGTTGCTAGGCCCAATGAGTCAGGAAACACCTCATCGAGCAGCAGAATTTGTCGTTGCAACCATGACTCTGCATAATTGATGATCCACCTCCGAGACACCACTGAGATTCCTTTGTTTGTCGAAGACAATAACAATATTGCTGAGGCCGACATTTATGATGGAGAACAAAGTAGAAATCAACGCCATATAGGAATTTCTAAACGTAATGCAATTGCCAGTCAAATTTGCCGTTAGCAATGAAAGTGGTAGCGATTTAGTCCGCGCAAGTCTAACTGTTGTTGCAGGCCGCGTTGTTGGCGACGCTGGCCCCAATGAGATCCATGAGGCTTTTAAGTGCTTGGGTCTGTGCCTGCACAGTCTCACTTAATTCTCGAATAGAGCTTAGAAGCTCACGGCTATGATTGTCACCTCCCTGCGTCCTTGACACCTTGAACGCCTCCGCAATGCTGTGGAGACCCTCGCCAATAGCTTTCATTCCTTCAGCAGTTTCGGTTTTGTCTCGTGTGCGTTTACCAGCATGCTGTCTCCACCCACCGCTACTCGGGCTTTCATCAATCACCGCGTCATCGGTTTCGGTTAAATACCGACCTACCGAGATTTCTGGGGCGTCACTTGAAAAGAACGGGTCTGCGTCCATGCCGTAGTGGTCGGTCCACACGTCGCACATCGTCTCATAGCACATTGGTTCCTTTAACTGCTTCTCCGTAGCATTTCCAGTATCCAGCAATGCTACTCGATACGCTGTATACTATTTGTGCATGTGCTTTAACTACGTATCATGCATTCAAAGCTCAGTTAATAAAACGGCTTTAACCTAATATTTAAGAATAGCCGTACCTTTGACTTACACTGCCCTGTGTTCACCTGAAGACCTCCCAGGCGGAACGTCTCCGCAGCAACCAAACTCCAGGCAGCCGCAAGCTGTTTCGAGCTTCTGGTGCCCTGAAAACGATGCTTCATCGCAACAAAGCGTACACGCAAAAGCGTTTCAGACGCCTTTAATGTCCATGCAAATGCCAACGGCGTGTTCGAGTCAGGTTTCTTTCCATGCCGGCCACGGGGTGCTGGAGGTGGAGCTGCTGTCACAAGCCCCAAGGTGGTAGGTGGTGAAGAAGGCGTTGGCATCGTCAGTGAAGATGTAGAATCACGAGAGATAGGAACAAAGCTAGACGCTCCGTCATTGCCATCGCCGACAAGCTCCTGGCTATCACCTGATATCATAGAGGGGAAAACTACTTTGTCCGCAGCTGGTCCGAATGTAGACGCCAGAGGGGATAGCTCGTCGGTGCTACTGTTGTCAACTGGAGGATGTAGTCCTCCATCTTCACGAGCGGCAGCGCATGTGCGGCGAGCTGGCAAAACAGACAGAGCTTCTTATTCTCAAATGAAGTAGCCCCTGAAGACGCTTCCTAAGCTGCAAGGTGCTTAGCGTACACGTAGGAATGCGTGTTTTCGAGGTTATACTAAAATATAATACTCTGCACTTAATAGTTTCTGCAAGTTACAATGACTATAGCAACTACAACTCTTTTGTTGCAGAAATATTAATAAATTATCTGAGAGTGAGGTAACTAACTGAGCTGCCAAATCGTAGTACATGTACAACAGAAGCTGGCTGTAAGATGAAAACGCCGTAAATAAACATTGTCACTTGATCCATAAAGATAAATAGATAGTTTTGGATTGAATAAAATGAACTCATATGTGTTACTGCTGTAAACCATTGTTTTCTAAGAGCTGTTAAGACAGCAAAATCCGATACTACTTAACTGGCGGACGTGTCGTCGACAGAGGCGTAGGATACAATTTTAAAAGGAGGGGCAAGACAACAACAAAACACGAGAGGTGTGAAATAAAGTTGGTTAAGTAGACCCCATAAAGAAACATCAGTAAACTTGGAGCCTAAATGACGTCCAATAATCCTGGAATCATCGGTAAATTATCAAATAGAAAGCACTACCGTCAACAGCAGCAGCAGCAAGGCGTCTTGCGACATAATATCCAAATGCTGTTCACTTCTTCGCCATGTTGAAAACGAGCAGGTGGGCTTCGGTTCATCAGCCTAGCAGCTCTGCTGGTGAAACCTTGATTTTCAGCCCCCGTTCAGCAATGCTACATTCTGTAGTACATGTAGTAAGAACGGAAGTGGTTGTGAGTACCCAATTTTGGTAATAGACAGCTAAAACAAAAGCTCGTACCCGGTGTGGTACCCCATATTAGTTGGTAACAAGCTTCTCGCCGCCGGTCTTACGACCAGTGAGCTTAGTATGTTGGTTCAAGAACCTCTAACAAATCGACAATCGGGTGCGACTCGTGCCTTGTAGAAAGCGCAAGCCACGTCCTCTAAGCTACCTAGCAGGTTAAGCAGTGGTATCACCAAGTCTGCCTGCGCGTAAATGCTCGTCACTTTATCTGTAGCTTTATCCCAGCCAAACGTTACCGACCCTTGCATGACGATCTTCTTAGTCATCATTTTAGCTGCTACGGGGGTCCACACCCCACCTTTAGCCCCACCGACGTCATCGCTGTTAAGGTGAGGGAATGCGCGGCGAAGCGTGTTGTCTGTGATGGTTACAGAGGTAATTGTTCCAGCTACCAATATATCAGAAGTTGGTGTCTTCAAGCCCTTGAGTTCCAAACGACATCGTCAAAGTAGTAGGCGAAGAATCGCCAGTTGTCCAGTTGCGCTTCAGGACCATACGTTGCACCATCAATGACATTAGC